TTATTTGTCAGTCTGAAATATAAAACACATCTGCGATCGCGGTATCGCTGTTAAAACTGCTGTAGTAGCTGCAGTTCTTGTAAAAGATTACATTGTCATTAAATCATTACGGGTGTCAGGATAACTTAGCTTATTAAGAGTTTAAAATCTTGACCAGCCTTGATAACAATAACATTTACAAGAAGCTAGCTGTGAACTATGCAATACAATTAATCGTTTTTTTCAATAAAAGCTGCACCCTCAACATGTCTAACTAGCCCAAATCATAGCCACGTTAATAACCTTTGTGACAAACCAAACTGTTTGTAAATCCATCAAGWTTTCAGCGAGTAAAGCGTATATTTGTTTGTGTAAATCACTCACCTCAATACTGTTCCCACAGCTACAGCCAGTGTTGCTAGCTGTACCAAGATGGCCGCCATGTGACGACGCCGGAGATCAATGCTTTTGTTTTGAAATGGCGTAGACGGATGTGCTTTAACTTTGGTTTGGTTGGAAATTAGCCTGACTGTAGCTTGTGGGGACGTGAAGCCGCCTCCCCTGACACACTCCAACACTTCCACACTCGTCCAACAGCGGCCTGTCTCCGGMGTTTCTGTTGGGATTTTGTCTCTTTTTATCGGTTTAAACAGGCTGACGGAGCGCCGGAGAGAACCGGATCGAGTCATTGCTACTGCCTTGGTATAACCCTCGGTGGCTTCAGTAGAAACCCKCTAGATGTGTTTAATTTAACGCCTACATGACTTGTGTTTATCGGCCGTAAAGGAGAGCTGCTGAGGTTTGTCACACAGTTGGTGGGTTCGATCCAGAGGACGTGGTTCACTCGGTGACCGTGAGCATCTTCCTCCTCGGTGCGGGTCTCTCCAGCAGCAGTCATGGCAGGAGCAGGACGGCCGGCTTTCCGGCTGCTGGTCCTGTTGTGTTTGGGCTTCCACCGCTGCGGCTCCTTCAACCTGGATGTGGACAAACCCTTCGTCTACTCCGGACCCGAGCGGAGCTACTTCGGCTTCTCAGTGGACTTCTTCAAATCCTCCAACAACCTAAAGTAAGATATTTTTTTTTTTATCACAGAGATGACACCTATCTCAGAAAACATCCATTTTTACTCCCTTTAAACCCATCTGAGATGAGGTGAAGCATTTGTATTTCTTTTACACAAACATTTAGATACCTTTGGAGTAAGGCACTTACTGCGTTTGTAACTTTAATGAAGTTTGCTTAAATTATGATTCTCGTTTTATTGCTTCACAGTGTTAGGCTGTTAAATGTGTTAATTMTTTTTCTTTTCTTTCCATCTAACATCTGAGTCCAAGAGACATAACCCACATGTTAGGGAAAATTGCACTAGATTACTAACTATTTATAAACAAGTGAGTAGTTAGTTCCGCCCAGAGGAGTTGGGAGTTGACAATAACAAGATGCCTCATAATATTATTTTCTTCCAAGTCTTAGCAATCATTATTGAACTTCAGTTCCAGCAGTTAAAGGAGAAGTAGTTGTGTTAAAATACTTAAGGATTATATTACAACACTTGTTTTAAAATGACCTGTCAGTTCTGTTTGAATCAGCTGGTTTTAGGGGCTCCATGACACCACTGTGATCCTGAAACCTTAACCTTTTTCCTGTGACCCTAACCAGAGCTTAACCCTAAATCATAAGGATGCACTAAAGACAAGACAAAGTGAGAACCATGTAATGTACTCAAGTTTTTGAAGTAGAGCATGCCTTCTGTTGGACCCTACAAGAATCTAACTTAACATCAAGTGGCACAAGTAGGAATTAATCYCAACCATTGCAGGAAGTAGACATGTGGGTGATGTGTGGTTGGTAAATTTGAAACAGAAATTACCCTTCTACCTCTTAAAACTTTTTATCTGGCAGAGCTTAATAATAATAATAATAATAATAATAACAATACATTTGATTTATAGGGCACTTTACATCCAGGAATCCCAAAGTGCTACAAAAAAAAAAATTCAAACATGGCCATAGAAGGTGCAAAACAGGTAGGTTTTTAGTCCTTTTTTGAAAGATCCAACAGTCTGTGGTTCCCTTAATATGATCTGGGAGTGAATTCCACAGACGAGCAATAGTGCAGAAAGCTCGGTCCCCCATGGTGCTGAGTTTTGTTCTGGGGATTTGGAGAGGGCAGGTGTTACCAGAACGGAGAGAACGAGTTTTATTGTGTGGAAGGAGCAGTTCTTTAAGGTAAAGGGGGTGCGTTGCCATGTAAGCACTGGTGTGTCAGAAGACCAATCTTGTARTGGATTCTGGCAGGGACCGGATGCCAGTGAAGAGAATGCAGAACAAGGTGTGATATGGTCATGTTTTTTTGGTTTTTGTCAGAAGACGTGCTGTGCTATTTTGGATGTACTGGAGTTTTTGAAGATTTTTATTTGAAATACCAAAGAGAATGGAATTGCAATAGTCCAGTCTTGAAGATATAAATGTATGTGCAAGTTTTTCAGCGTCCAGTTGAGAGAGTAATGGGATGAGACTGGGAATGTTTTTTAGATGAAAAAAGGAGGTTTTGCACAGATGTTTCACGTGTGTCAAAGGAAAGATGAGGGTCAAAATGGACACCAAGGTTGGTGACAGTAGTGGAAAGTGGTATGTCTTGTCCGATGTATATGTACTGTCAGAGCTGACGGTACAAGGTCTGGCTAGTGTCTGGATTGTTACCAATCARTCAGTTTTTACTGTTCTTATCATTTTAGCACCAKYAATGTCTTTAACTTAAAATCTTTAAAACAAACTTCATCATAATGTGGACAGAGTCATTTGGAAATGTAAACACATAGAGACTTATTACCCTGTTGTTGTTGTTGTTGTTGTTGTTGTTGTTGTTGTTGTTATTACATGGCATGACCTTCATGGGGGGAGGGCTTCCGATGGAGGGTGGGGGGTTGCCCCTCGTGGATAATGATCATTGTTTATTAAGTTGTATCTTTTAAAAGAAAGTAGACTCTTCTTTTTGTATTTCACATCACAGTGCGCTCCATGTGATGCTTAGGAGTTTGGCTTTCTGGTGAAAATAGTGTTTATTTTAACCTTCGCAGAAGAAATGTCAGAAAACGTTTTTTTTTTTAAGATTTTGGCGAAGTGTTGAAAATAGCTAATTCAGCTGATTTTATGATGTGGAATAAAAAGATGGAAGTAAGTTGTCTGGATAGTTTAAGCTTCAAACTTCCTGTTAACATCAAAATGGGGAACTTGTGGGGGAAATCTGAATGAAATGTGTTTATTTCTACTTGAATTTCAAAATGGTTGTGTGGTTTGTTAAGTTTTATTTATTGTTTGTTGATGTGGGCACAAGTGTTAACAGATGCTCAACTCTGTAACGTTTGTCACCTGGGCTAATTTGCAGTGCCTGTCACAGATAGGTCTCTAGCATCAGTATTAATTGTCTGGTTTGCTTTTGTTGTTTGCTCTTCCTGACAGSCTTCTAAACAGCCACATCAATCAAAATACTGTGTCTGTCCCAATGAATCAATGGCCTAAAAACAAAACAGTGTTTTTTTTCCTGTGTGCATTGTATTCTGATTGGTTGCCTCAAAATAAATGTGCAAGTAAACCAAACTTCTGTAAACAAAGGCTTTTTGTTATAGAAACAGATGAAAACAGTTTTTACATCCCTGCAGGTATCTGAGCCCTGTTTTATACCCCCCCCCAAGCTGTTTTTGATTGAAGGTTTGGAGAAGGGCCATTAATTAAAACGTTACATTAAATTATTTTTCTAATTTTAAATGAGAATCCAACATGAGACTAATATTACATTTGTTTATGTTGCCCATTGATTTTGAGATTTTAACTATTGTTCTTAAATCACCATGTTTATTCTTCATTATTTTGGAGCTTAAATGATTGGGAATTTACTTTTCGGTGCAATATTCAAAAATGTAATTTACTGTCTCTTTCAATTCATTTAAAAGTATGTTTAGTTTTTATACTGCTGAGTTCAGAGTCTGCCTTAATATGAAGTTTAGCATCATAAGTAGTGATTTCAGGGACATCACCAAAAAAAAGGACATTTTACTAAAGCTGCATTTCAACAAGAACTCACACACTGAGGACCAGTGTGAATCTGAGTTTAACCTCCTGTGTGTCTGTGCCCATAAGGAATCTCCATGTTTTTACCCTTTTTCAAATTTAAGTTGTGTTTCTTACAGTGGAAAATGTTTATTTCTGTTTATTGTGTCTCGCGACATGTAAACACTTTCGACTAAACACTTAATGTGACGTCTCCCTGAACTTATCATTTATGTCTGTATTGTTGAGTCGATGCTCTTAACGTCTGCAGTGCGTTGATGACATGTTTCCTTCTCCTCAGCTCAGACATTCTGATCGGTGCGCCTCGAGCCAACACGTCATCCTCCAGCGGTGTGGTGGAGAGAGGAGCTGTGTTCAGCTGCCCCTGGAGTAGCTCCTCAAGCTGCCAGCAGCTGCTGTTTGACGACTCAGGTACTAGAAACTTCCACTTCACCTCCATATTCAGACTTTTTTAGTTCTTCTGCTGTTAACCAGCTTTTGTATCCTTCAGCTGTTTTCTCGAGTTGACCCATTAACTCTCGCTCCGCTGCAGCAGGAATTGTTGTTTGCAAATACAGCAGCAGGGGATGAAGCAGTAAACAGTGATGGTGATATCTGTCACAATGATTCACAATCTGCAGCACTTTATTTCATGCTGCGTCATTTGGCTMTGTGAAATCTCTCCCAGAAAAAGCTACACACAAAACCATTTCATTTGTCTTAACACAGTTTTTTTCRAATTTTAAATGAGAATCCAACATGAGACTAATATTACATTTGTTTATGTTGCCCATTGATTTTGAGATTTTAACTATTGTTCTTAAATAAAAACCCTGSCCTGAGAAAATCAAACTGACAGTCACTTAAACAGTGATATTTTTATGATGACGAGAGTTCAGCTCATAATGCTGCTGTTGTTTCATGTCAGGACACATTCAAAAATGTGTTAGTGAAGAAATGGAATGAGTAGGCAGATGTTTTCTCTTCAATTGTTTTTAGTTCATCCAGTATTTGAAATTTTTCTTTGCAGCGCTGGTAATTATGGAAGTTATTGGTTATTTAACTTTGAAGATGCACTGCATTGTAGTAMTGTAAATGACCATACATATTCAATTTTGTACAATTTTTGGTAGCAATTTTATTTTATTTTCTGGCATCATATAGCAGAAATGAGGTTTGAATAAAATCTGCAGCTCTTTACAACCGTCAAAATAACTTATGCAGGTCTAGATAATGTTTTATTGTGATAGGTCACTTTCTGTTCTCTAATGGCGTTATCTTCAGAGAAGATAAGTCAAACRGTAGGTAAACAACCTGATCATAGCTGGTGAATAAAGAACATATTTAGCATAATTTGCACATCAAGTTCCTGCAAAGTTGAAACCGCATTTCTAGGTGCAGGTTGGACTCTGCCAGGGCTGTTCTTTGTCTCTGACCTTGTCTGTAATGTTTATGGACTGGAAKTCAAAGGGCAGTTGTGGAGAGGAGGGTGATGTCTGGTTTAAAAACCACAGGATCTCYTCTCTGCTTTATGCAAATGATGTGGCATTGTCAATTATTTATAAGTAAATAATTAACGATTATTAGCTGAAGTGTGGAGATCAAAAAATCTAGAGTTAGCCAAAAAAATGAGTGGTTAAGTAAATGATGGTCTATCTCCAAACAAAAGCAACTGGAAAAAGAAGTGCAGATCATCATATTTTAAGATGATTAGARGATGATGAACCAATGTTTTTTTCCTTGTAACGTTTATGACAAAAATAAGCTGTTAGCAATCATCTCTACATTTTATTTGATTTCATTCTAAAGACCCTTAACTTGTTTCACAACCAATAGTGAGATCCCAACTTTAACAGTCATAAAACTGACGTATGGGGCTTGTGTGAGGAAAATTGTTTCTGTCTCAACCAACACTGATTCACAGCTTATATCATTGGTCCAAATGTAGGCAGTTTACTTTTTTTTACCGAACTTCATAAATCTTTGGCTAAGCCAGATAATTTCCTTTGCAAGAGCACACATTTTCTACAAACTTGAGTACAAAAAATTCAGGGAATTAATCAACAACACTTTCCTATTATCAGCCAGCACAGAAGAAGAGAAACAGGCCCCATCATGATATCACTGCAGTTGTTGAAACAAAGTATGAATAGATGTGAGGCAGGACAGATAAGATATAAATTGAACATGGAGCTCATTAAAAAAAATATATTATAGCCATCTACACTGCCAGCTCATTAATAGCATTCTTTATTTCTTACAATTCAAGCCTTTGTTTCTATTACTAAAAACATTTCTAACAAAATGTAGTTCATGGAAACTCTCATTTGGAAGATAAACATCAGTTTCCTGTGTCTTGGAATCTGACAGTCTTTGAGTTTTGTGAACTACATATTGAACTTGTCTCAGTTTCTGCGGGAGCTGTTGGAGAGATGGCACAAAAAACTGATAAACAGGGAAGTACTCTGAGATGTGTGTGTTAGTGTGACAGCACACTGTTGAGCAGAGTCTGGTTGGTATTCTGTGGGAGACCACAGCAAAKTAAAGCAGACAACAACAAACACACTTAAGCAGTGTCGCCCTGCCCCCCTTCAGATACACAAACAGACTCAACATTCTATGTGCTGGGACCTTTTCAGCTGGTGTAAAAAAAAAAATTACACATATGTTTCAGAAATGTAAATGCCTCACTTATACTACATATTTACAAAAGAGAAAAGGAGAATTTTTTTGCTTTCTTCTCTGACCTGTGCAACTAATCTTTATAGAGGAAAATCAGTTTTTTGTCTAATATGATAATGCGTTTATTTGACATTTAAGGACCTTTGAAGTCAAAACACATTTTACTTTTTGTTTTGCTAAAGTCAACAAACTCCTCTTTTTTTCCACTACTACTTCTGTGTCTTGCTCTTATTTAAAAACGAATAAATTTAATAGCCTGCAATTACAAATTTTTATATTTTTAAAGCAGTTCATAGGCTGCTTATCTGTCTGATGTTAATGACCGGTGTATTTTTATGTAATTAAGTTTCTGCTGCTATAAATAGATAGCATATTGACTTTTGCTTTTATTGTTCTTATGGTTTTGCATTTTGTTTTGTCTTTTTATTATTTGTATTATTTGAAGTACTTTGGCCAACAATAGTTGCTTTTAAATGTGCAACTCAAATAAAGTTGAGTTAGGTATTGTTTTATTTATTATTACTGCCAAGATGGATAATAAAAATAACTGATTCTGGACCTAAATTTGAATTTCTCTCATCTTCACGCAGCATTAGACTCACGTTTTCTTGCTGTATTTAGTTTAACTTTCTTAAAGTTAGGCCTGATCATGTATTGTAAGGGTTACTGCATTGAATTATTCTTGATTTATTAATATCTTGAAACTTTAGAAACTGAGTCAAATGACCTTATGAGAGCTTTAGATGGCCTACTATCTGCCAGCTGATGACCATTGCCCTGAAACGTGATGAAACATGATGTACTGAGAGTTAAACCCAAGTTCCGAGTCCGTGTTTAATGTAGAAAACGAGATTTTCACTCATCTACCACAATGTGCTGGCTGTTACTTAACTTGCATTCCTACCCGCAGTGCAGAGTTTTACTACCTACTTGAGACAGTTCATTTACAACACTTCATGAAGTTGTACCCTAAAGAAGGAATCCTTATCAAGTATTCCTTCCTGAGCTGGATTTGAAGCAAATGTAAGAAGTAAAACTATCTGTGAAGTCACATTTCCTAAAAATGCTGTACTTGATAACATACAACATACAAATCTAGAAGAATATGTCATACATGCTGTATAATTGTACTGTATTTCTTATATTAAACTTTTAATCAGACATGTAGTAGTTTGTATCAATTGAGAAACACTTTGTAAATCTTTACCAATCTTACATTAGCCTGTATTATAACTGAACAGATCTATGGTCTTTTGTAAGACTTGTTACAACACCTGTGGAGCAGTAGCTTCATGCAGCATTCTGTTCCAGGCATGTTGTGACCATAAAAGGTAAATTTGTCCAACACAGCCTCATTAAGTGTAGGTTCTGCAGCAGACTGTTTGTACAGGATGTTTATATCCCAGCTTGCAGCTTTAAGTTGCAGAGAAATGGATCAGCAAGTATCTGCCTTGCTCAAGTGCCTTTGAGCAATACTGTGTTACCAACACTGGGAGCCTGTAAGCTCTGGCAGAACCAGACATGCTCATTGATGTTTCTCCCTCTGACTGTAATGCTGTTAGTGGGTGCCCCAGTTACATTGTGTGTGTGTGTTTGTCTCTACAATAGAGGCCTTTATTGTTGGCTTGACCTGTATGATTGCTGCCAAAGCTTCACTGGAATGACTGAATTAACTGGAAATCTTCTGTTTGTGCTCTTTGGGCTGTTTGTGAGTGTGGTACAACTCTGACTCACTGTTAGACTTTTCCATTCTGACCAGCTCAGCATCAGGCTCCATGCGCTTTTGTTCCTGTTAGATTTTGATGTGTGGCTTGAATAGTCATGGGACGTCTATTCCTATAACTTTGAGGGTTTTTTTCCCCCTGTTATCTTGGGCAGCATATTGCAGGAAGTATGATAGAAAAGAAACACAAATTTCTCCTGCAAACAGATATATGTGAAGCATTATTAATGAATTGTAATATATTTTGTCTGTGTAGTGAGTTATATTAAGCTGCATTTTTTTGGGTATTCCCAAATGATTTATACTAGTGACATTTGTTTTTATTTTACTTAAAGCATCGTCTGAGGATAACATTTTGGGTGCATATCTAAAATATTTCTTACGCTTCTTATTCATTGTTAATGGGTTGTTTTCKTCAAAGTGAAATATTACTTTTATATTCCACACAATCACATGACCAAAAATCTATGTAAGCAGAAGTTCACAGATGTTTTATAAAGAGTATCACCTCGGAAAAGACAACAGTCCTAAAGTGCCAGGATAGCTACAGACATTTAAAAAATGTCAGTTCAAGCCTGCAAAATTATATTCATATCTGACATAAGTAAACTGGTCAAACTGCTACATCTGTTTGATGGGTTTGCTTTAAGAAGTGGTGTTTACTATGGTCACCATATATTCTGCAGACTTAGTTCTTCTTTAGATGTACAGCAGTACAGCTGGTGCACATTTTAATATTCCGACCCATCAGAACAGACTGGTTAGCATGTTGGGCAATGTTAGTGTTAAAATATTTTAAGGCCTTGTTTGCACAATGCCCTTTTTCACTTAAACTGTAGCATTTCATTAGCCTGGCCCTTTCCTTCCTATGCAGTTCCCTATGCAGTTTCACTCAATTCTACTCAATTCACTGCTTCTTCTGGGATTTCTCCCATAGACAAGGATTTCTTCGGTAGAATTTTATCTGAGCCAATCAGCAAACAAAAGGAAGGGTTTTGAACGACAACTTGAACTGTGTAGTGTCTGCTAATTTAGCAATGGCAGTGGAGGAAGGGAATGAAGCCATTCTGTGTTGACAAGGCTTCCAAATGAAATTAAAATTGTCTGACAAAGCCTTCAAGTTCTCATTTACAGCCATTTRGCTCGGCTCTGTACTTCACTTCTAGGGTTGAAATAGTTGAAACAGTTCTGAAGGCAAAAGGGGGTCCAACCCGTTACTAGCGTGGTGTACCTAATAAAGTGGCCGGTGAGTGTATGTCTGTGTGTATATATTTACAGTATTTATAAATGTAGGCATGTATGTATGTATATCTTTATATATGTATGGGTATGTGCATATATTTATATATGCCATCCATGTATTTATCCATTTATTTTTCAGGTGAGCGGACAGATGTTGGGTGTGTGGTCCTGTATTTTCTTAGTGTATATTTAATATACTTCTAATCTCTAATTCAATCTTTCTAATTACTTCTCTCTTTGTTTTTCTCTCTTTCTCTATTTTCTCTTCGCTTAAAAAAAGTCACTGATGATGAAGAAATAAATAAACTAATAATATTTGTTTTCGTTTTCTACTGAAGTGACAAAAAAAAAGGAAGTCAGAGTGTACTACTCAAAGCTGTCCGGGTTAGTATAAGAGCGGACAACTTTGGTTCCCGCCCTCAGGCGTAAAGATGAGTCAGAGAAAGGAAAGTTAAAGATTTGCCAGGCGCCAGTCGTCAAGGTTACTGCTGTATGGTTGAGCAAACAAACAAACATGATAACCTACTTAACTTATATATATAATTCTAATTTTGCATTTGTTTCCTGGTTCTTCATTGGCGCTGAAGTCACTAAAGACAAATTCCTCCAGCTGGTCATAAAAAAAAGTGGTTGGCCCCTCCACCGCTTAGCTTATGAAAATGTATGGTGGAGGAAAAACGTTACAGAGTTTTTTTACTCTGATATACTGTATAATCACAAACTACAGGATATACCATATGTTGACTGGACAGAACATCAGTACCAGTAATATCTACACAGTTCAGCCTAGTAGTAGTAAAGATAATTTTACTGTTGTCCATTATATTTACCTCTCACAATGTTATCCTAACATAATAACAATATTAATAAAAAATACAGTAATTTGTTGGAACAGCAAATTTGTCTTTATGTGACGGAAAGAGGCTTCTACTGTAAATACGTTAGCAAAAACCTATAATGAAAAGTTCCCAGACTGCTTATAGATTTATCTCTTGAGCAAATGTACATATTTTTTACATATCACAACATAGGCAATTTTCTCAGCTTTAATTTATGCCATATTTTATAGAAATCGGATATCAATGTCATTGATATATTAACCCACTAGGGGGCACTGTCGGGACACTCTGAAGTATAGAAGGCACAGTAGGGACACTCTGAAGCCATTGTATGGTATTGATAACTCCTAATAACATCCATTTCATGGACTAATATCATCAGAATCCCCTGCCTTTGTTTTGTCAAAAAGACTGAAGACTTTTGTGCCTGTCAGTTTACATTTGACATGTCAGATTTGTGTGGGATTCATCTTTGTATTTACCCAAATGACTCTGAGCTAAGTGGTGTTTAGACTCATGTAGCCCTTGAACTCCGTGCCGCCATAGTCTTCAGGCTACAGGATGGTTTACAGCTGATGCTTTCTACTAATGCTGGGTTCAAAATGTARAATGCCAGAAACAAAACTTTGGATTCTCCTGCTCAAGAGAGTTTCTTTTTAACTGGAGACATGATTGTGAAAGGAAGAAGCAGGTATAGATAATGGATGGATGGACATGATAGTGCTTGAGAAAAGCACGTGTTGTGCTGAAGTTTTTTGGTATACTGGCCAAAATCCTAAACTTCAAATAGTTTTGTTTTGTTGCAAGTAAAGTAAAATATAAACAATAAAACAGCACAGTAAAAGCACCAAGCTTTTTAAAATTGGATGCTTCAGAGCTTTTTGAAACATTCTCATTTTCTGGATTTTTTTATTTTAATGCCACAGCTCCAACGTACAGCTGATGTGTAAAACACTTGAAATAGCCTGAGTATTGTAGTGATGAACTGTAGTAACAATAAGCATACTAAAARGAGATGTCAAGGAAAATATAATCAGCATTTCCTGTTTGATTTTATCTGGAATGCTGATTAAATACGAGTAGTGGTATTTATGTTGTTTATCATTCAGCAACAGATCAGGAAAACATTGAACAGACGGTAGTTCTGTACAAACACTGTCAGTTTTTGCCTCTTTACAGTTTCAATGTTAAGAGGCACATTTTGGCTGAAATATCCTAAACCTAAAATGTCTTTTGTTGATTATTTCTAGGGATGCACCGATATGAAAATTTCAGTTGATAATTGTATTATAATAATTGATAATTATAATCCAATATAATTATGTGGATGTCCCGATCAGATACTCAGTACCGGTATCGGTGGCAGATATGGCCATTTTTTGAAAATTGGCTAGAATCGGATTTAGTCATGTGATCGGGCCGATCCAGTTTTTGCAACAGTTTTCAGCATCATCATGCTTTACAACTGCCATTAAGAAGTCAAGACACACACAAGTATGCAACCATGTCCACAGTGTGGGAACACTTTTCAATGGAAAACGATGCTGAAACTGCACCTCGCAAAATTTTCAAACTGGGTGTTTCTCTTGGTGGGAACAGTAGTGCTCGGTTTGATACTACCAACCTTGTCACTTGGAAAGAAATAAAGAAATGAAGCTATCGGATCGGAATCGGATCGGTATCAGAAAGACTAATTATTAAAAAAATCGGATTGTATCGGGAGCCAAAAAATCTGGATCAGGACATCCCTACAAAATAATTATTGCTGTTGTGGCCGATAATCGATATTTACAGATATTACACAAACACACAAATTATTTATACACAAATATGCACAAATACACTTGTGCCTTGTATTATTTTGAAAGCTCAGTTTTTCTTCTGTCACTGAAATTTAACTATGGTTTTTCAGGTGATCGGACAAAAAATGGGGCTCAGATGGAGTTTAAGTCTAAACAGTGGTTTGGTGCCTCGGTGCGGTCCAATGGGGAACACATCCTGGTAAGAAATCCTGTGCTCTGTGTGAGGAGTGTAGACCGTGAGACCTTCAGATAAGCAACTGTAATGTCACCTGTTTATTGCAGTTGCTGTTTCTTAAAGAGAGTAAAGAAAAAGAAAATCTGTCCTTGTGCTAATTGTCATATTGACTTTGGAATTATTAATCTCTACTCTAGATTTATGTTTGACAGTGAGTGACTGCTTCATTCAATACAATAATATGTGAAGAAAAATAATATATGTTGTGCAACATTAAAAATTACACAAACTGGTGTATGACCAAAAACTTACAGAGCTTTGACTTTCTTTAGTAACAGAGATTAGTTCCTCTAAATGTGTTTTACACAAATATGTACTGATTGCTTACGAGAGGCATTATAAATTCTGGTGCACGTTCCTTTCATGCAGACGTGTTAAAATAGTTTTTGTGTCATTTACATTTTTCCTCTACACTCATAAAAGGCTGATTGAAATCTTCCAGAGGAGGTTGTTTGAGATTTTTAGCAAATGTTTCATTTAAGACAAAACATTTAAATTTGTAATTTGAACATGATAAAAGTCCCGACATAGTTGAGATCTTGAAATAAATAATTTGCCATCAGGCTCTTGTATTTTGAGTGTGTTTGTGTTTTTCAGGCCTGTGCTCCGTTGTACCAGTGGGCGACCTTCGGCATGTCTGAACGTGAGCCGGTGGGAACATGTTACCTGAAGAAAGGAACTACAGTGGTGGAGTACTCACCCTGCAGATCAAGTGCGTTCCTCTTCACATTTGTCTGTACTAATGTGCAGGTTGGACATTAAACATCTTATAATGCTGAAAACTGTTGTGTAGCTGTCATCTGTGGCTTAAAGTCACTTCTCCTTTATTTCTGCTGTTTGGTTAGAAGCTAAAGTATTCCATGTTGATATGTGAAACATTAACTTTTGAATTAATTAATTAAACTCTAGTTTAAGTTAACTGTTTTAGTCAGTAATTTATCTGTTTAGTCTCACCGTGTCTATTGGAAATGCAGATAGTGACTGTTTTTTAGAACTGCTCATTGAAAATATAACCTTGTTAGATTTATCTACCTGGATTATTCAGCATACATCAGGATACACACTGAAATCAGCATGAAGCATTAGCTTCATTAGCCTCATACAAAATCACAAGGATTAAGTCAGAACTGAGACGTTATGTGAAGTTAAAGTCAACTGGCTGCTGTTTCACCTCTTAGCCACCAGGCAACATAGTGGCAGAGCTGTAACAATCCTAAAAGAAGTCAGTCGTAAGATTCAGAATGAATGGTAGATATACAACACACATTTATATTTAGCATATTCACTAATGCATCAATGTGCTGAAAGAAGTGAACAGCTTGAACAGCCAAAGGCCGCAAAAAGAAAGGCTTGTCTTTTTGTAGAACCGTTTTGTGAAAGAGACCYTCGATGCAACATTATACCTCAAAGGTCATGACTGTTCTCTACTGAACAGCTGAAACAATTGTTTATTTTTTCTTTCATATTGTTAAATCAAGGTTTTCTGTTTCTTTTTTCCCAACTGTTTGTTTTTGCTTTCCAGATGCCAACTCCCCAGAAGGGCAGGGGTTCTGCCAGGCCGGCTTCAGTGTGGACTTTCTAAAGGTAGTCAAGAAGCATTAACCTTCAAAAAGTCAGTATTTACAGCTTTCTGGAGAGACACTGCTGTGGACTAACAGTCCACTGACAGTCCAAATTTACATTTGACTGAAAGTCAGTCTTGTTGAAATCAGAAAACAAATTTAACCTCCAACAAGGCTGACAGTAAAAAGATGAATAAATAAACACCAAAGCAGTGGCGAAGTAGTGTGATTGTTTTTGCGTCTGTCACCAGGAATATATTTTTAAAATTTGTTTAAAGTATGTTTGTGGCTTTTGTGTTCTAACATTTAAACTAAAGGCAGCAGAAAGCATCAGCCCTTACACACAAACAGTCTTTTTACACCTAAACTTCTCAAATGATCATTTTATATATCTATTATGCTTTGGAAAAAGTCTTTTAATCTATTAAAAATTATACATTTATAGTAACAATCCTTTATTCCTTGTCAGACAGTGACATTACATGAGAAATGTTTGCACATGTTCTCAATCAAAACATCATTTGGAAGTGTTACCTGACTGCTGCAACTGATGGAGAATAGCAACTAAAACTTGCATTAAATTCCAAGAAAATGCACACATTTTCTGAGACGCCTTGAAGACACCTGCAACATCTCTGACTGTTTTGAGAGAACACTTGTCTTGCAAATGTAGACTGACAAGACTGTGAGCTTCTGTGACACAAAAGGAAACAGAAACCCAATATTTTCAGATCTTTTGAAGATTAAATCAGAAATGCTGTTCGTTGACGAGTTGCAGAGTTTCAGCCCAGTTAAATTCCAACTTTTACTATCATTGAGTCCCATTCTAAGTTTTTGCTTTAAATGAAACACTTTTACAGACACTCTGTAAAAAGCAGATTTGGTTCTTCTCAATGAAAATGTTCACACCAGTTTGTCCCAAGTCTTTCGGTGGTTGACCCACTGACAGGTTTATTTCTGTTCTATTTATACGGAGCCACTCCATAAACAATACAGTCCATTGCAGGTTGATCTGACTTTGACAAAAATACAGGTTTGGTTTCATGTCAGGAGTCTGTGTGTTTTAACCTGTGTGAGGGACGTCATCATTCCTTCAAGTACATATATGTCCTGATTCAATTTTTTTTATGAATAGAATGGGAAGTGAAAGCAGTTTATAAGCAGAATTTTTCTTTGCCTTTTGTGGTTTCAGAAGAACAATAGAGTGGTGGTGGGAGGGCCTGGCAGCTTCTACTGGCAGGGTGAGTGTTACTGTGATTTTGTGTTTATGTGACATGTCACAGCCTTGAAGCAGAGGACAGTCTGCTACATCTGACTTTATTCCTCTACACTAACCTGGAAGTACTAGCATTTTTATTTAGTGAAGGACCACCTGGAAACCTCGCAGGTCACTCAATATTACTTCAAAGATTTGACCATAACAGCTGCAACTTTCATTTCTCAACGTGAGATTATTTCAGTCTGAAACTGAAGCATGGAAAAGCTGCCGTGGTTGATATTGATTCCTTCTAGGAATGCAAGGCTTTTAATTTCTTAAGAAAAGAGACATGCCTTTTTGTGGTTATCAGATTTTTTGTTTGACCCATGGTCTGTAGGTTTATAGTTTAAATTAGATGAAGTAGTCAGTATATTGCGACGTTTTTCTTTAGGATGTTTTGTTTTTCTCTTTCTGTTTCTAGAAGGGATGTTGTCGGTTTGAAATAGATGAAAATAAACCATCAAAATTGTTTTTTTCCCCCTTTTGTACCAAACGTAGATTGAGCGGAAACCCCAAAATTTACAGTACATTGTAATTTATGTGTGTTATTTTAAATTCTGTCCCCTAGTGTATCATAAAAGGTAAACAAGTAGGAGTAACTCCTAATTTACACTACATGTGTTCCGGCTCCGCTCCACTCCGGTCCGACCTCTGCAGCAAATGCGCATCCATTATAATCAATGAGAGTGTTTACACTGGCTCCGCACGGCGGCGGTGAGCGGACGGTGATCCGGCAAAATTAGATCCCATCCTATTTCTGCAGGACACCGAAGCGGAGCCGGAGTCAATTTTTAAAGATTACATTGCACCAACAGGAAGAGGAACGAGCGCAATATCCATATTTACAAAATAAAACACCATAATTTTGTTGAAATTGCAGCTATATTGATAAATATATGGATATATTTCTACACAAATGCTGTCAAAATGTATTATTCTGTTTGGGAAGCAGATGGCAACATGTAGATGAAGCATATGTGTGGACACATGATAAACGTGGATTTTATTTTYAAATCAGAAGTTTCAAAAAGACGACAGTGATACAGTTTCAACCATATAAATTAAAAGCTTTTATATCAATTTTTTCAGCTGTGTTTGGAGTTAATCTTTCACAGAATTAATAATTTTTTGCTCTGACTTCCACATTTATCACTGGATTTATCGTGTGATCTCCTTCCTGCACACCCTTCCCTCCCTCTGTCTGTGGACCGGAGCGCAGCTGAGCGGAGCGGAGGGGAGGCTGTATAAATTGGGTTGCAAATGAACAGCTGCGAACTGCGCACCGCAGCACAGCGGAGCGGAGACTCGTGAAGTGTAAATCCGGGATAATATGTTATTCATTGTCTTATTAATCACCTCTTTAAGAGTTTAATGACCAGGTGAGGTTCAGGTGTGACGATCTGCAGATACTGTGTGTGTGTGTGTGTGTGTGTGTGTGTGTGTGTGTGTGTGTGTG